GTCATTAGGCATATAAATTTATATACAACCTTCGATATGACAATACGGACTAACAAACTACACAGAATTAAATATAAAGTAGAAATTTAAACTAGGTGTAGGTACTAAGTTAACCAATAAAGAAAACAAGTAAAAATTTTAAACAAAAATGAACCTTTTGCATCGTAAATTACTCTGAGGCTTAATCTTTTTTCTCTCGGCACATTGAATTTGTAAACACAGCTTTGTTACAAGATAATGCAAAGATTTTAAGAAATAAGTAATAAATACTACCGGACTTTGGCACATTAATATGAATTATTTAGCTATTTACTCCACAATCGTTGTGAGACTTCAAGCTTCTCAGCTTATCCATAAAAATTGTAAACGTTTCTTAAAAACTCACTTTCTGACTCATTTTCTGAGAAAGAATTCAAATTTATTTATTAAGTACTCAAAACTAAATCTCTAATTAATTTTACTGACAGCACTTTTATTACGCTAATGAGATTTTGTATTTTTTTTAATTACACATCAAGTATCTACTTTAAATATTTTGACTATTTAAATAAAAAGTTAGATCTTACAATGTAAGATTTAGTAAAAAAATTATGTTGTTTGTAGATTTTAGAGATTAAAGCCGACCTTTTATATAGTCTGTTACAATATACTTAAATATTTTTAAACAAATGAACCTGTTTTTTTATTCTCGTACTGTACAGGTAGTCATAAAATGTTCCACCACTGACGGGGCGAGCGTCGGGTGTTTGGCGGCGGGGAAACGCGAAGGGGGTAACGCGACTCGAGCGTCGCGAGCACGCCGCGCGCGCGTTGCGCGCACGCTGCATGCACGTCACACGGCGGCAACACCCGACGCTTACGCAGCGCGCGCAACGCGCACGCGGCGCTCGCGCTACTCGTACGCCCGTGGATCGCGCACGCCAAATGTGGGGTCAGTCTTAGGCCGGTTATAGTGCTCCACCGACCGTCAGTACGTACGGTCTGTCCTGACGATACGCTTGAACCGACCGTCAGTTTCTATCATTCAGTGCTCTCCTGACCAACAAACTGACCGGACTGGTACAGTCGCACGCAATGGAACCGTTTACGAATTGTTTAGTTGCTGCTTATTATCTTCGTAGACGTTTTAAGAATAGAAGAAGACGTAGATATCATGTACACCCTATCGTCGCCCAAAGAACATTACGAGGGGAATTCACTACTATATATTCATTATTGCGCGAAGATGAAGAAAAGTTTTTTAATTACTTCAGAATGTCGATCAAAAGTTTTGATGAATTATCAGCGAAGTTACAAGACTACTTAAAACATGTAAACTTATTTCGAGCTCCTGTATCACCGGTGGAAAGACTTGCAGTCACTTTAAGGTATGTAACTATGTCTATATTACAGATTACAAAAATGTAGATATCAATTTAAATATATTAATCCCATTCCACTAATTACTAACCCTATTAATCCCATCCCACTAGTATGATAGAGATATATGAGACTCAATAACAAAATAATGTTTAAAATAATCATGATTTTAAAATACCTTAATTACAAAAAAATCACAGTTTCTTATTTAACTATTATTATTTAAAAATAAAAATTCAGTTTTGTTTAAATACAACAAGGTCAGAAAAATCTGTTTGCTCTACGTTGGAATTGGAAACCATAACAGGCAGCATGTTAGGATAAATATTTGTGAGAAGCTGTTCCGATTCTTGTGCAGTAATATTGTTTGATGTTTGTGAATGAGATGAATAGGACTCTGGTGACGTGACGAAGTATGTCGTACTGGAAGACTGGGACTGGGGACGACTAAGAGCATTGTCACCATCATGAATCTTCGTAGCTATTTTTAGTACTTCAGAACGAAAAGTCAACTTTTGACTAATAGAAAATGAGTTAGTAATTGGTAACAGCGATGTGAAAAATGCCATGTCATCATTTTGTAGTATTGTACTATTCTCTTTAAACATTTGCAGCATCTGTTTGTCAAATTCAAATTCTTCTTTATTTATAGACCTTTTAGATTTTGTAATTCGTCTATTTTTTTTATTTTGACTTGTCTGGGATGCAGGCTCAGTATTTTTTTGTTCGAAAACTCTAGTGTCAAAAATAGTGCTTGTCGAAGGTTGTGGCTCGGGCTGGGGCTCGGGCTCAGGCTCAAAGTCGGGCACCGAAATATTTGTCTGGGAATCATCTGCCATTAGGGAGTCCTCGACTTGGACTGTGTGTTTCTTGTCGAGAAATCTCATATGATCGTAATATATATACTTTTTTTTTATCGCTCCGCCGCCAGATCCGGGCTTCGTATTAATAATTGCAGCTTTAGACCTTGTATACGCATCCCGAGCTGTTCTCCATCTCTGTTGTATAGTTTTATCTGTAACATAAAAGTAACTAAGCTTATTTCTTTCTTTCAGGTACTTAGCTACTGGTCATACATTCACAGACTTGCATTACAGTTATCGTCTTGGGGTGTCAACAATCAGTTTTATCGTTAAGGAGGTGTGCAAAACAATATGGGAGATTCTTCGTGAAGAATGTCTTATGTTGCCAACATCGCCTGAGGGGTGGCTTCATATCATCAATGAATTTAACGAAATAGCAAACTTTCCAAATTGTGTTGGATGTATAGATGGCAAACATGTGAGAATAATCAATCCTGAACACAGTGGAAGTATTTATTCCAATTACAAGAAATTTTTTTCAGTTGTTTTACTTGCTATATGTGATTGTAACTATCGTTTTATATACATTAACGTCGGTTCATGTGGAACCGACTCTGATTCTACCATATTCAAAAACAGTAATTTGTTTCAAAAACTACAAAACGAAGAAATGTGTTTTCCTCCCCCCAAACCATTGCCCCATACGACCGAACCACTGCCATACGTTATTGTCGGGGATGCGGCATTCGGTATTTCAAAACAAGTGTTACGACCTTATGCACGTAGTAACATGACTTACAAAAAGAAAATATTAAACTACAGACTTAGTCGTGCAAGGAGATATATCGAATCTACATTCGGCATAGTGAGTAACAAATTCAGAATATTCCACAGACCTATGAACACTTCCTTGGAAAACACAATTACAATCATCAAAGCTTGTTGTATTTTACATAATTACATCAGAGAACGAGATGGTTACAAAATAGAGGATACATTAACAATTGCAGGATTTGAACCGCTTACCCACGGCAGTGACAGTCAAAGACATAATATCAGATCAGGGGACATGTTGAGAGAAAAGTTTGCTAATTATTTTATATCTCCAGAGGGTGCTGTGTCTTGGCAAAATAATAGTATTTTTTAAATTATTTGTATGTCTCGAAATAAATAAATAAAGATGAAGATAGTTTGTTTATTACTTACCTATATCTTTTTGTTCGGTAAGAGTCATTTCATCGAAATTAGGAAACAATGCTTCACACACTTCTTGCCAAGCCTTTAACTTTGCATCACGGTCTTTATACAAAACGTGGCTTATGTTCCAGAGTGGTTCACGAAGCCGAACTTCGGTGATTAATCGTTCGGTGTCGATAAATTTGTTCATTTTGAGTACCTACGAAATAATTTCTCGTCGACGATGATACGCACATCCGTGCGGTCGGTCCACCGGTCGGTGCAGCACTGAATGCGTTCATATGTTTCCATAGCGCGTCGGTCGACCGACGGCACGCATGCGGACGCGCTCGACCGACGGTCCTCGTACGCAGTGCGTAGCAATATATGCGTGCGTACGGTCGGTCGAGCACTGTGACGACTTGTGAAATTTCATACAAATGAGAAGCGCGACCGATGTACGCACCGACGGTCGGTCGAGCACTAAAACCGGCCTTAATGTTCAATATTCAATTTGTCGATTCTTGTTGTCGCTGATGACTTAAAAGCCTAATTTTGATTGTTTAGTCTAGCCAATAAACCAAACAATTTTTACTTTCTTATTGCATCAATTGACTATAAACGTCATTAGAAATAGACAATCATATTTCATTTAGTTACGAATAACTAAGATTCTGGGTTAAGATAAAATTAATGTTAGAAACATAGGAATATATGAAAGTACTCGTATCATGGAATTAATTATAGTAGCGTGACCCAAGCTACGTTTTCGTTAACAGTGACTGACAGTCTGTACCTAAACGGTACGAGATATGTTCACCAAAAGGACGAGAGACGGGCCGCTAATAGGCACTCATTTTGTAATTTACTAAATTAACGTCTTATTATCTGTCCTGAAACCGACAGACACAATTTCAACTTAATGTTGTGTTACAAAAGAGTGAAAAAGAAATGTTTTAAAGTTTTCCGGGTACTTTCTTACCATATATAAACAACCGATGTTTGCCTTTAAACTCTAATAAGACAGTTTAAATACATAACTTATTCAGATAGTGTTTACCCACATGAAATATTTTCTTTGGTAAATAAAGGTACCGAAGAAAAACTCTGTCTAAATTGAGTTTTATACAGCAATTTACGTTAATAATATAAAACATAAGAGTGGTCTGGCTGTGCCACAAGTGACCATAAAATAAGAGGGAGAGATTACATGACCAACCAACCTTACCCAACAGAGTTTATCTGTCCATAATGTAAGGGTCGACACTCCACAGACACATCTGGACAGATTAGACGATACTCATGTGGCTACTTGCCAAGTTATAAACGGCTAAATATTTTACTTTAATTGTTCAGGCAACCCTCACGTTTTACGAGAATGACGTGATATATCACTGCACACATTGTAAAGCCCAGAAATTCTAGAAAATTGAATCAGAATCCCCTACAGTCCATAGTAAACATGCCTGGTCGTGACAACAATATTCACACACAAGATGTCTGTAGCCATATCATCAATTATACGCTCTCCGCTACACGTTGCGATCTTGATGTATAAACAGCTTTACCATTCAACACTTTGACACATCGTAGATCGATGGATCTGGGTCGTAGCAATTAAGTTACGATCGGGTAGGAATGTTACCAACTAAAGAGACTCACCAAAGGCATAGTAGCAAACTTTGAAGAGATGCGGAGCTATTGCTGTGAGTAGGCCGAAGATAGCTTGTGGTAGTTCTGTTGCAAGGAAGAGGCCTAGTAGGGCGACCAACATTCTCGTGGTACGATCCGTTCGGCCGCCGCCACCACCTCCTCGCTTCCCACCATCTTCGTTCAACCGAGCTTTTTCACCCTGCACAATGTATGCAAATTAATGTCTTCAATTATTATAATCGCTGCACGCCACTCCTTACTTTTCCCAGAAACATTCAGTATTACTAACTTTAAATATTACATAATTACTACTTCAAAACATTAATAACCAACATAACTGACTGAATATACCTAGTATACCTAGTCTAGTCTGAGTATACCTATACCAAGATATAGTACTTATTAGCTTATAATCTGATCCACTGTCAAATATGAATGAAAGCAAGTTGTACGGTGTCACGTTTCGAAAGAAAAACACAAATGTTTTCTTCCATAGTTTTCACGCATGTTCGTCATGCATGATAACTCACATTATTTCTGTTCAATACAAAGGCCATTACTAAAGTATCGACATAGAATTCAGCTCTAGTCTTTCTGATAAAAATCCAGATAGAAACTGAAAAATACACATTCATCACGTATGCAAAATTGGTAGCTGCTATATAATGCTGAGTGCTGCGCAGTATGGAAGAATTTCCGATTTCCATAGCAATTGCTGGTAGAGTGTGCAAACAGACTAGTTATACCGTACCATCCATACATGCATGACCTGAGGGCCTAGACAAGTGGCAAACGCTCGGAGTCGTTTCTATTCTACTGAAAATGAACGCTTGGGCGTTAGCGTTTTTCGATTGGTAGCCAAGTGTACAACCACTTGTCGAACGCTCATTCTATTCGTATGTTACAAAAAACATCAATTGTTCTTTATGGTTTGTCGTACGCTAATGTCAGTTTGACAATGGGTCACCGCAAAACTACAATATTTTTAAGTTGTGAAGTGATGATTCTTGAATTTTTTAAGTGAAATTATACATGGAATAGCGATTTTAAGACGGTGAGTACTGTAAATAAGTATGATGTGATAATCTAAATTAAATTACTTTAGTTATGTTTATATTTTCGGGATGTTTGTGTGTTTAATATTCTTGTTGAAATGGTTACTAGGAATACTATATTTTTTTACATGGAACCGATGTTTCGAGCTAGTCCAGAACAATTCTTAATACTTATAGATTTTATGGAAAGTTAATTCGTAAAATCGTATCAATATTTCAATATCTTCACTCAGATTAAACTTAATATCAACAATGTCGTGGTCAATCTGCACAATCAACAAAGGAATATACCACTGAGGCAGTTTGTGTATTTTATGAGCGCGGCGATATGTCGAAACCCTAGACGACTGTTCAAAGGTCAATTAAAGGGATATCAGCTGTGGCAGGATTTATCGAGTATGTTAAATTCTTATAATGGTAGAAGAATTTCGAAAATCCGCAGATAACTAGAAAATGGCATGAATTAAAAATAATATCAGAGTCCTTAGCGATTTCGATAATGACGACCTCAGTAAATTAAATATTTATATATATTTATTTTTTATGAATCTAAAATCTTTGGATAGTATAATTTAACACAATGCTTTTTATTAATTGTGATTTTTAGGTGTAGGCAGACTGGAAGACAAAAACTAAAACCAAATATTTTTAAATAAGGCAAAATTCTGGTGGTTGTGGGCCTAGCAGCACGATCTCTTTAACTGCATTAGAAGAGAGACTGGTTGCAGTTTTTGGAGTGTCTGCTGTGGCAGGCCAAGCTGGCATCTGCTGGATTCAATGTAAGTATTTTATAAACTGGGACCACACTGTATCTTTTGTATCTAATATTGTAAAACTTGTCAGGATCAGGTCATCAATTTGAATAGATATTTATTGTGTATTGATTGAACTATGTTCCATATGATGAAAAATGGTAGTCATATAGTAAACTTAAAGCAAAATTCTAAGATATAAATAATAACAAATTATTTTATTTCAGACCATCAAATGACTTGCACTTGGTCCAGGCAGGAGGCAGCACTAGTGAAATACCTACCATATATAATAATACCATAGAAGGAGAGAGAAAGTCCAGTAAGTTGATTGTAATAATTTTATTTGTTTCTAACCATATCAATATTCCATAAATATTATGAAAGCAATTCTGTCTTTAAGCAACTGAAAGATTAATTTCATTGAATATAATAAAGTAATGATAATAAAATATTATTTTCAGCTGATATAGGCAGTTAGCCGACCACGTACAACTTTGGCACCGGCTCGAGAGACAGCTACGCCACCATCCTAGTCCGCCTCTCTCCTTCCTTCCTTCCTTCTTCGCCGTGATTTTGTCCGGCAAGAAGCCTAGACTGCAGGCGTCAGCCTCTCCGCGTTCGGCAGCTACAACACCAAATCGTCGTTCTTAATTGTGGGCGCGTAGGAACAGGAGGATTAAAGCCATTCGAAAGAACGACAAATGAATTTGTAAAAGTCGAGCTCCGCCGACGTGAATTCGAGGAGAGGCGTGACAGGTTCCTTCATGAACGAGAGTTGTTGTGTTGAGAGTTTTACTGCATTTCTAGCAATCAAAAAATTTTTATTTTATGTTTTGATAAGGTAATAAAATGTGGTAAATATACACGGGAAAATATAGTGAAATTACAAAACCTTTGAAGGCTTTGCATGCAATTTTATTGGTAATTAGATAGGCTTTTGTACATTATCTTTTTGATTTTGAAATTTACTTTCTTTTTAGACGTATATAAAATTAATCCTGGCACAACCTTAACGACATGATGACGAAACCAAATGTGACTGTCATACGAAAGATGATGTGAATGCTAATTTTAAGTTTGAAAACAAAGTAATTATGTTCAGAAAAAGTAACCAAAAATAAAAAAGTTTTATTGATACAGATTTTTTTTATTTCACCCTTAATGATAAAAGAAATGTTGGAACCTTAGTTATTACAAACATGGAGTTTAAATCAAGATAATTTAAGAGTACAATGTAGTTGTCTTAAGCTATGTACCAAAGGATTATAACAAAATAAATAATAGTCGTCATGTTTGTTTACCATTATGATATAATATGTAGTTCCCGCATGAATGAATCGCTTCCACTTGACTGGATGACCATTTTAAAAAGAGTCGTGTGTGGCCCCACCCTATTTTCAATTCATATTTAATATTTTTAAATTGTGGTCAAAAGCCTGAAAAAATATGTTGATTAACTTTTGTATAATAGTTATAAGCCGAAGCCTTCCCTATTAGCCGAAGACTTCCTTTAAATAGAATGAAATGTATTGATGATAAATATATATAGATATGTAATAGAGTAAGTTTTGCTATGGGGTCGAGCTGCGGAAGTAGATTCAATATTTATTTTGCAAAAGCGGGCTATCCGAGCGATATATAACTTGTCCCCTCGTGAATCTCTGAGAGAACTATTTAAAACGATAAATATCCTAACGGTACCTTGTCAGTTTATATATGAAAATATTATGTACGTAAGGAAAAATTTGCAATTATTTGAAAAAAGAAGCGATAGACACAATTTTAATACTAGAGGCAAAGATAGGCTGGCTGTGCCACGATTCCGTCTGTCCAAAGTACAGAAATCCTTTATGGGGTTCTGTGTAAATTGTTACAATAAAATTCCAAGAAGTGTATTAAATCTTAATGAACGAAAATTTAAAACTTATATTAAACGCGAATTATGTAGACAGGCATACTACAAACTTTCAGATTATATTGAGGATAAGAATGCCTGGCAGCATGTTGGTTCGGCTCCACTGGACAATTCTCAAATATGTAGTCAGTAGTTATCAAAATTCTCAAAATTAATGAAACCTTGAATGAGTTTATATAGAAGCATTCTTTTGGATTGTGAGTACGCATATGTGAGCGCCATGTACGAAACAACAAAGGATTAAAATTTTAATGATAGATTAAAAAGACCATCATTTGTTCCTTTTTATTAACAACTTGTCTCTGCATTGTTCTCACATAGGGGTACAGTAATGTATGTATAAAAAATGTATTATTGATGAATTGTAAAACAAATATTTTTTTTAAAAGAGTAACGATGGAGTTTCTTGCTCGTTCTTCTCCATTCGAAACTACAATTTGGAACGAGCACCTAGCTTCACTGACGAACAGACTGACAGACTACTATTCTATTTTGACGTTTCAAAAGTACCTATTTATGGTTTATTTGGAATAAATGATTTTGATTTGATTTGATTTGATTTGTAAAATGAAAAATTATATTTGTAGATTCAATGAGTGATAGCCTTTTCTATTAAAAAAGGGGCTCACCTTTACTTGGTTTCATTATAGCTATGTGAGTGCAGTCAATACATCATACGACAACCGGTAAATTAAATCTTCTTCGGAATCTAAAACCAACCATAGTTCAAGTCAGGTACATCAAACATTAAAATACTGCTGGTTTATTTTTTAATACATACTAATATGATAACAATATATTTGTACTGATTATTACTTACTCTTGTCTTATTCTTGAAATATCTTGATTCGTTAAGGGATATTACATATATTTTAATGAAATTATGGAATCTATATGTATATGTCGCAGTAAGATAGATGTAGCCGTAATATAGTTATATCCTTAGGGATATAATTATATACTGGAACATAGTTATACGAAAGCGATTCATTACTATCTCACTAGGGATATAGTTATAAAACGGACCAAGTTTAGTGATATGCTTATATTACTAGATTAAGTTTAGTGAAATAGCTTTCGGAGTGTGCGCCTCTCCCGCGGCGTGAAAGGGGTTGGTTGTGTTTATGGAGGTGTTGGGAGGCCTTTCGTGTGGTTGCGGAGCGAGGGGCCATAGAGGCTGATGTTTAGGCCAGAGCCGGGGAGGCTGAAGTTTCCGGGCGGGTCGGTGCAACCAGAGGACAGGTAGCCCACTCGAACCTCAGCGGTGATCAGTATCTCAGCAGGGAGTTCATTCGGTATCTACTCCGAGGCGAGAGGGACGGCCTCCGTTGAATTCTCCGGCGCAGGTTATTCCGGGGATTCCGGAATCAGGTCTAGAACAAATTTCTCAAGCTGAGGTTCAACTTTAGCTTGGAGTGTTGAACTATTGTTCAGCCTTTTAACAAGGCGAAGAAGCAGGGCCTGAAGGGCCATGATGAAGAGAGCCTACGTTCCTACAACACAACAATAACTTTGCTTGAGATGCCCCGGATGCATGCCTCCTCCAGCAGGCAGGTGCCAAAATATTCCCTCCTAGGGTATCTTCCTAGCACCTATCACCAAGAAGAAGAAACCCGAAAAAAATTGGTGGTTAGGTGCCTTTTGGCCTGAGGGGTCCTATAATTCTAACCCTTCAAAGAGGTGAATTTGGAGGTGTGTGCCGAGGAGAGGAGGGAGGTGAGTATCTATTGGTGTTCCCTAAGCTAATAATTCCGCTACCAATCTTAATGTGCAACGGGTTCCTATGCGCCGGTTCGCGGTTAGGCGCCCGGCGAAGTTGTGGTGAGAACGGGTTAAGTGCCGAGTACAACTAGGGGAGCCCCCAAGGTTATAGTCCCAGCACTCTTCCGATACTTGGCAATGTCCTGAAGGGCAAGGCTAACGTTCCCTTGGCGCACGCCACCTGCATTCATTTCTTCATCTTAATTCATGGCTGGCGCAAGTAATTACCAATTATAAAACGAATACAAATGCTAAGCCAGCGTAGCAATTAAATGCACATGCACGAAAACTAGAAGTGAACACCGAACAACTATTATAAAGCTATTTCACTACATTTAATCTAGTAATATAAGTATATCACTAAACTTGGTCCGTTTTATAACTATATCCCTAGTGAGATAGTAATGAATCGCTTTCGTATAACTCTGTTCCAGTATATAATTATATCCCTCGGGATATAACTATATTATGGCTACATCTATCTTACTGCGACATATACACCGGTATTTCCCTAATTTGCATTAAGAAATGACGAAATTTATTTCTTCAATGACGCCCAAGCCGTACGTACGGCTTGGACACCGCCCACAATAATATAAGTGCCTGCATTTGTATAAATTTTATTAATTTAAACGAAATTGTTCACAAAAACAACTACCGGTATCTAACAGCTGTTTAAATAATCGCCATCTTGGGTAGTGTATCGTAGCGTTTTCTACAGGGTCCTAGCGTTCGCTTCGTAAGCGTACATTAGAAACGTTTACAGTCGAATTCGCTTGTCAAATGTGCCACTTGGCTACGCATTTGTATGGAGAATATCGTATTACATTGTCGTTTTGTTTAATTGAATAGAATCGTGATACACTTGGCTACCAATTACACGTTCGAAACGATAGATCAAATTTCATGACGTCAATTCATTCATAAAACATTCTATTCTACTAGCGTTTGTGCCACTTGTCTAGGCCCTCTGGTTATTGTAACTAGAAACACAATTGAATTCGAATTTTACACTCTACATTCGAAACTAAGACAACAATAAAAAACTTCACGTACCTCGTTACTTGCTATTGCTGATTTTTTCAATAATTTCTGTCTTCTGCGATCACTCGACTTCATTTTTAGAATGAGCAACACACTTAGTATGGACAGCACTACGCATGGGATGAGTTTTATAAATACACTGTAAATCCAGAAGATAGCTGTGAGCAGCTCGTCGTTTTCAGTCATCACTATGGCGTACTCGGGCTCTTTGCTCTCCGTGACATTTGAAACAACATCTGTATCATGCAACGTTGTGTTGTTATGTCCGTGCTTTGAAGGGATAACTCGAATCTTCATAGCAAAATAAATGGGAAGACACAGTATTGGACACACGGCATACGCCACAGCTATAGCTATGTTTGTGTTCTTCTTGTTACATAACGTCCGGTTTTTTTGAGGAAACTTTATTGCTATGAACCTCCAGACAGCGAGCGTGATCGTCAACCAAATAGATATCGTATGAAAGGTTTGGCTGAATATGGAGTGAAAATATACGTAAACAGCCCACGCATACGAATTTCGATTGAGTTCTGCACATATATCTGTATAGATGTGTAGCGCCAGGGGAATGTAGTCTATCATGACGAGCAAGTCGGCGACTGCCAGTCCGGTCAGGATGGAATTCGTCGATGAGATCATTTCTTTTCTACTGAGCACGGCGATGTTAACAGAATTGGCAGCACTGCCCAACAGACAGATGAGCAGTGCTATGTACCCATGGACCCGAACATAAGCTCGCTGGAACACCGGCCCCTCCGGCATGCAATAAGCCACGTCGTCGCCTTCCATGCTCGACTCCTTCGCGTTTCTATTTTGGTAAATGTCAGCCACAGCTTCTCGGTACTATCTATAAACCACGTGCATTGTCTGCAAAGAAAAGAAAAGTTTTTGTTGTCATTTATAATGCTTACTATAGAGCAACACACGGGACGTGGCATACGTTCAGGAAATCTAATACAAAACCTTGGGAAACCGCTGTCACTCAGAAAATATTATATCAACGCCAGTAATAACGAAAAAATGTCTAGGCACAAGGTTTTCCGGACGATTGTATGTTATTCGAATGTTGTGTGGTTATTTATGTCCGTGGCTGCAGCGGCTGGGTAATGGAATAATCATAAATAAAGGAGCGCGCCCCATTCAGCGATGGCGCCACTTTCTCCGATTATACAAAGTCTGAAGGAGGAAGGAGGCCGTATTTATTTCCCTGAACAATAAGTGGCTCAGAGTTTCGGACCAACTTGTAAAGCACTATAAACTACTTGGTTCACAAACTACTTGATCTTGCTTTGAGTTTAGAGTCGTCGGTCGAATTTTATAGTCGTATTTGTTTGCTCTCAAAGTTTCTGTGGTCATTTGGAAAATTGGATTTTGTATGGAATCTCTTGGAAGAAATTGAAACTGTAAAATAAGTTATTTATGTTCAAAGTTTCTGGACGTCATGAGCTAATGCCGTAAATGACAGGGAAAGTAAACGTAAATAACTTTTAACCACCATTGTAGCAAGACCTTTGCCACGTCGACCAAAATTCCATCAAAAATTGAACGCACGTACACGAGCAAAAACATATGAACATTATGTTTGTACTGTACAAGTAATGTTGCGTAATGTAACACAATACCACTGACAATTTAAGCCTAACAACCAACAATGTACTTACGATATCCACATAAATATGTATGAAGTTCTCTCTCACTAAACAAACCATAATCCAGCCACTCTAGGGGAACTTACCGAGTCAATAACATTGAATACACACTACTTACATTAAACTGACGGTTCTACCGTGTTTATTTGTTAGTTCAGACATGGATATGTGAAAGATGCGTTTTTTTTTTGAAAATGGTGCTTCTCAAGGTTTTCGGTTATATGATTTTCTCCTGTGTCGTAGTTTCGAAACAACAATTTGTGGATCACACAAGGATTGTTCCGGCGGGAATCGAACCCTCGACACGTTGCGCAGACATCACACCCACCGTAGTCATACGTTATCTTTCTTAACTTATTATATTTCAAAAAACTGTAACCACTTGTAATATATTTATAATATATTGTGTGCTTTCCGGATTATGAAGTCATAAACTCAATCTGGGCCTTCGAAAGATCCGTATGTTTCGAATCATTAACCAGTGACTTCAATAAATCAATAATATTCATCGGTTTATTTCGAATAGACAGAATACTACAACTAAGAAAAAATTAACTATTACCCCTTCATATAGCCAGGTTTACGATTCAAGCGCATAATGTGCCGCTCGACCTGAAGCTGCAGAAAGAACGCGGTGGCTTTTAGTCAGTAAGAGTCTGACACCCCTATCACCTCACGCAAGGCCAAGGCCGTGTCAAGAACCAAACCATTCGAATATCGAAGAAAATAATTCAATCAGTAGCAGCGCGACAGTCGCCGCGTCGCGTGTCGCGGAATGCTGCTCATGAATATGGGCCTCTAGCATGGCTTGAAACTAGTCGAGTATCTCGTCATATTATTATATTTAATTATTATGAGTAAGCCGAAAACATAATAATTAAAATAATTCAAATCTAATTCATACCTTATTATGTACAAACAGCGAACCAAGCAAAGTTTCACATATCCCTATAATCGAGTTAGTTCATTTATAATGACTAGTAAGTAGTAGAGTATCATTCGCACCAAAGTTATCTCGGAAGGCTTAGCGACAAACTTTGTTTATTGAGTAATCCTGAGTGCCTAAACTAGTTTAGTACGTGCCTTCAGCTGATGCCAAGAGGTGTTCTAGAATTTTCCATCTCACACTACTTCAGAATACTGACAAATAATGTAGTATTCGAATAATGTGGGTATTATCTAGTAATTATTTGAAAAAAGAATATGTTCTCTTTATCTTTCCCATTTTATTGAAATTAACGGCCTCTGTCGTCAATTAAATATTAATAATTATGTGTGGAATACCACGGTCTTATAGAAAACCAGCGTGAAGTAACATCTACATTGTATTTCGCCGTATGAGTGAGGTTACTGAAGGCCCAATCCTTCCCCTTATTACGATTACTAAGAGAAATCTAATTGCCGTTAAAAAAACAATACCTACTCTGCGTTTTGAATATTTGTTGCTATTTAAATTAATTTTTAATATATATCAGCATTCTTGAAAGAAATAATTTTATAATTTCGAGAAAAAATCTTTAATTAAATTCTTTATCCTGCAATTTCAAAGATCTAATTAATTTGTTAAATTGTTCTAACACAATCAATTAAGAGTATTTTTTAAATTAATTTTGTTTGAAAACCAACAATCGTCCAAGGATTCAAATTTCCACGAAGGGATCCCTGCAGAGTACATAAAGGCTACGTTTTATAATATAATTTTATGAATAAAAAAACATCTTTATGAAACAATCCCGTTTAGAGTTTCTTTGGGGGCGTTTATACGCATTTACAAGACAAGTACTCTCAATTTACCAGAACCTTCTGTGGATGTTGTAATTTAATTAACCTCACCTGCGTTCCTTGACTACAAACTGTTCCTGTGATAAATAGAGGCATGAGAGACTTTTACAAGTAAATTAAGTATCAGTAATGTATTATGGTAGAATAAAATGCTAGCAAATGTCATAGTGGCCCTGAGGTTTAGGCGCCCGCTTCTCATACATGAGGTCTCGAAACCTGGCAAGTACTAATGTAACTTTTTTCGAGTAATGTACGTACTTTCTATGATTATTTAGACACCATTGACAAACGGTGAAAGAAAAATGCTTAAATATTCTCCTTGTGAGAAGAGGCCTTTGCTCAGCAGTGAGCACTTATAGGCTGATGATGCTAGCAAGTAAACATATAACATATATCTTTACAGACTACGTCATTTCCACTCATTTGATCTCTCGACCCACGAGTCGTCAAAGTTGTCTGATGTCCCTATCAAAGAACTTGGAGAAGTGGTCGTACAAAAACGAGTAGTTACAAACATAAATAAATCTAGCACTTTATCTTCTCAACGGGAAACTTTGCCCCCCATTCCGACGTGTGTCGGTGTAAAAAATAGTCACTATTACCATCAATATAGTGGACAATCGGGCCGGGTTTGATGGCGGCTAATGATGCAGAACGAAACACCGTTTGTTAGCGGAGGATTACGTCTTGAATTTCGTGTTTTAGTTACACTTTTTTTAGATCCGATCAAGTACAGAAACACGTCAATTAAAGACATTGAAATCAAGTTCTTTGACAGAAATCTTTTATGCGATAACCATTTTTCCGTAGCGTGTCACGTTTTACGATAAGTAAAGCTTAACTTATAACTGATTAAAAGGTAAAGAGTTATACTATATTTTATAAATTAGACATAAAAAGATAAATGCAGATAAACATAGCGAAAATACAGTTCGTCTACTAAAGTACTGAAGCTAATAAAGGAAACTTTGGACCCGACTTTACAGCTGCGAAATGAAACTGCATGAAGGTTCAATTCCTAACCCACGCATATCCACCACACTCCACACACTTAAGCACAATAATGCTGGTGTAATTAATTACATCACACTAGTTCACATTAGTCATTTAATAGAAAAAATCTGTACAAACATTACTAATCAAAGCTGAATACATGCTGTAAACTTAAATAAAACAACCGATACTTTCCCGAAAAAGTCAAAAGTCAATTCAATACCAGCTACCGGTAAAACAGATTTATTAAGTTTTATGTAAATGTTATTCTACGCGAATGCCAAAAAATTTTCATAAAATATACGATGACCAAATGTAATGTTATATTAAATACCCATGAGCCAAACATAACCTTGACTTTCAGATGATATGGAGAAAAACACGCCATTTCCGACGTAGCCACGAATAACTGTAATTTCCGTCATTCAGAATGCACAACTATGTGACTACCAACATAAAAACTTACTGGCGAAGTCTCTTTGAGAATATTATATTAAACATTCCTTTACTTCTATCTACATCTGTGGAATTAAGTAATCTACTTTATACAAATGAACAAAAAAGTGTAATGGAATAATCCCCTAAGGAAATTGATGTTGTTTAATAAGCATCAGAGCATATTTATGACCGAGGCGTTAGGAGCTACTTTATTAGCTTTTGCCCATGAATTCATAATCGTATCCATTTTGGTGTTAATAAAATCTAAGTCTATTAACGTTTGGAATGTTTCCTCGTCGTAAACTTGCGTGTTTTGGAAGGTTTTTACATAAAATTACGCTGACGACAGCGCTGCTAGCGTGCTCAGGCGTGCTCTAGTCCACATTAAACGCAATGCATGAGTTGGGTTGACAAGTTTCAATAAAGCACAACACGTCTTGTCAATAAAAAAATAAAAGCTAAAAGATTCTAACTAGAAATAATATGAAAATGTTACGATATTTTATAAAAGATACCTGCGAAGGTTGAACTTTTCTCTTTGTTAACGGAAAGCATTTATATTTTATTAAGAAAGTCAGGAAGACTTTTATAAATGTTATAGTTTTTTTCTTTATTAATTGCTCAACGGTAATTTTATTATAAATTGCTGATGAATAAATACCTTTTGTGGCTAGATAATTAAATATTGAATGAGAATACTTCACATAATTATGCTAGATAAGTATATAAATTATGTTCTATCCTCGTTACGTGTTTTGCTGGAGGCTACATTTTCCAATAAATTGAATTCTCTAGTATTCTCTTCAAAATATGGTGTAGTGTATATACCTACATATGTTTATTAATTACGACTACAACTTGAAATATTTAGGTGTGTAGCAAACAAGTAACATGAAACTATTTAGAAGTAGGTAGGTACTATCAGTGTCATAAGTGCATGGAGGATTCCAAATCAAAATCGTTTGTACGGCGTTTCATCGCCTTAATAATATACCATGGATGACA